CCCCACCCCCCTTTGTCCATGTGAAGGATAGTCTATGTGAAGGGTTTCATCCCGCTGCAGGGCTGTGTCGAAAAGAAGCAGGGATCTCTCCCACAGTCACACTCCCAGCAAGATGACAGCATTGCAATCATAGGTGGCCTTATCACCCAAGATTCGATGCCCAGAAAGGTGATATAGGAGAATCAGGTCTCTGGCCTCCCGCACAGGCTTGTCCTAGGGTTGCTGGGCAGAGCCTACTTCCCTGGGGACCTAGGATGAGTGGAAAGGGCTCCCCGGGGCCTGAGGGGCCCAGATGTGGATTCTGCCCTGCCACCTACTGATGTGTTGTGTGGCCCGAGTATGGTTCCCACCTCTCTGAGCCTCAGTTTTACCCACGTGGGATCGTGCTGGTCTGGATAGTGCCCAACCAGTCCATCACAAATCTGTCAGCCTGGGAGGGTGGTTCTCTGAAGCCAGGCCCCTTGGCCAGTAGTCCAGGTGCTGGTTGTCAGGGATGGAGACAACCAGTACCTCACTCAAAAGGCCTGAGCAGACCCACAAGGGAGGGGACCCGCTGGCCAGTGAGTCATTCCTCAACGAGCTTGTTGGGGGCCTGTTGGAGCTTCGCCTACAGCAGTGCCTGATGAGGAGTTGACCACTGTTCTCACTAGTGGGGGCACAACTGCAAGGGGACCCTCCACTGTGCCCCCCCAGTCTCCATCCCCCGTGCGTGAGGAAGCCCCTCCCGGAAGAGGGGAGGAGGCCCGCCACCCCTCACGTTAGCTTGTGATGGCTCCCTAGTCTCCCTCACCCTCTGGACTCCTCTAGCGGGGACAGCTACCCTGGAGGAGAGACCTGTGAGGATGTGTGGAATTGGGAAGACTCCCTGGGGGGTGGGGGGCATCCTCCTGCAGGGATGTAAAAAGAGGCAGGGTTTGACTGAGTACAGGAGAAAGGAGAGCATCTGGGGAGGGGGTGACAGGGGGAGCAAAGGGGTGGAAGAGAATTAGCCTGACCATGGGAGATGCTGCAGTGGTCCTGGGGCCCCATCACCCTGGCTGGAGGAGAGCCCCAAAGCCTTGGTTCCTGAGTGGAAGCCCTGCCTCCAGTCTTGAACCGCTAGACACAATGCATAAAGTGGATCCCAGCAGGGCTGCCTTTGGGTGTTAGGGGAGGGGGCAAGGGACAGACACAGAACCCTCTGACATACACGGCTCAGAGCATAACAAGAACTTGCCTATGGTCAGACAGCAAGAGGCCAGAGCTGCCCCTGCCCAGGGCCTTGCTCTGCACCTGTGACCCTCCCTCAAGGATACTGGGAGAGGAGACCTGGTACCTTGGGCGAGAGCTTGGGATCAAAGACATTCCTCCTCCTCAGGAATGTGGCCTTTCCTGCCCTTCAAGGTTCAGACCCTCCCTCACCTGCAGCCCCTGGGAGAAGCGCCCCACTCACTAGGGTCTCCCTGAGGGGCAGGGGGGCCCCAGAACAGGTGTGGGTCCCTGGGGGTGATTGGGTCTCTGGAGGGGAGCTGCGGGTGGGGTGTGTTTGAACTCTCTGCGGGCTGTACCCCTCTCCCACACCCCTCCAGGCCTTTGCACACGCTCTTC